GCCAGCCCTGACCCGGGTAGGGGGAGGGGTCTGGGAGAGAGGGTCCTGGTGTGGGAGGACCTGGGGAAGAGGTTGTTGGGGAAGGAGGTGAGCTCCGAGAGGAGGGGTCGTGGAGTGGCAAGGCTTGGCATTGAAGAAAAGAATTGACATGGGAGAGGATTTTGGTGTGGTAGATTCTCTGGAAGGGAGAACTCTGATATTTGGAGAATTTGGCTATGGGGGCCTTCTAGAAATGGGCACAGTTGTGGATTGACCCTGGTGTAGAGAAGTGACTGGAGAAAGTTACCTGACAGGAATATTGGTTGCGAGGGGCGGGGGTAGGGGGTGGGTAGGACCCAGAGTAGGGAAGAGAAGGACGATCCACTCTAGAGCTAGGAAGAGACGCATTCCCCTTGCTTCCATCAGGAGTGGTCCTTGATTGGGAGGGGGACCTTGGAGTAATAGGAAGAGCCCTGACGTGGCATGGGGGAACTGGAATATGGTGTAGAAAATTATGGGTGGGCTAATCCCTGATGTGGGAGGAAATTATAGGGAAGAAGTCTTGGCATGCTATGGGGAGTGTCCCCTGGGAAGGGTACGCCTTGGTGGGTGAGACTGCCAAGGGGTAAGATTCTTAAAGGGGCCCTCAGATAACCCTGGTGTAGTCAGGAAGTCCCTGAGGACCCTGATGTGGTTTTAGGGGCCGGCAGAGGATTCTGCCGTGGTTTGGAGGGGGCCTAGGAGATTCTCATGTGGTATAGGGGGATCCCAGAGCTCTCTGGATTGGGGACCTACAGGGAAGGGTCACTCTTGAAGTGGCGGGACCTTGCTGTGGTAACATGAGATCCTGACGGTCAGGAAAACTATAGGAGGGCAGGATCTAGTGGGAGGGGGCCCTGGGGAGGGCCATGAGTAGAAATGGGAACAAAAGAGTGAGCCCTACTCTCTATACTGTCTACGGTTTCTCTTTTCTTCTCCACCCCCACCCCCCCCTACTATTGGTGTCTTTCTGTCCTTTCCTATCATGACCCATATCCCTTCCTGGCTCCCAATCATTCTCTTTTCCATGTTCCTCTCATTGTGCTGCCTACTTCGTTTATTCGGTAATCATTTGTTGAGGGACTCCGCTATACCACTTCTTTCTTTTCTCTTCTCCCTTCTTCATTGCCACCTGTCACTCTGTTGCACCCTTTTCCTCCTCCCTCTGTGCCCTGCCTTCTCTCTATTGTCCCTCTCTTTCCTGCCTGGCCCTGTCCCACATATCCCCTTGTTCCGTATTGTTCCCCACCTCCTGCCCACTCTCAGGTCTCAGCGGCGGTGGCAGCCGAGGTGCAGGATGCGAGAAGGCGCCCCCCGGCCGGGCTCCCGCTCCAGGCCTCGCTCCCCTGCGGCCCTCTGAGCCCACCATGGCCGTCCCACCAGGCCATGGTCCCTTCTCTGGCTTCCCGGGGCCCCAGGAGCACACGCAGGTATGCGTTCAGATGGCTCCTTACCTGCCTGAGGTAGGGGAGGCTGGGATAGAGGGTCTTCGGGCCAAAAAGATGTTATGTTTTCCCAAGACAGTCTCCCGGGGCACATGAAGGGAGCCATGGGAGTAGAAGACATAGAGAAGTGGCTGGCAGGGTCAGGGTTTGGAGAGTCTAGGTCACATATCGGCAGGGTGGTTGTATTACTTAGGTTCTCCATGCTTTAGTTTCCCATTCTGTCATATGGGGCTTGTAATGATACATACCTCACAGGGTTGTTGGGCGTTTAAACAAAGTAGTGAAATGTAATTGGAAATGCTGAGAACAGTGCCTTGCACATAGTAAACACTCAAGATATGTTCACTAAGTAAAAAATGTCCAGGGTGGAAGATCTGGAGGAGGTGAAAGGGGAAGAAGATTGAGACTGAAGGGTGTTGGAGCCAGCAGGGGCTAGGGGTGCTGGGGAAAGAGCTTCAAGGGTAGAGACTTAAGGCTGTGAACTGTAGAGCTTGAAGTAGGATGGGGTGGGAGATCCAGGGCACTGGATCCAGATCCAAGACCCTTAGGGTGAAAAAACTGGGCAAAGATGCACAGAGTGAGGGGTAAGGGTTGGGAAGGCCCCAAGGGATGAGGGTGAAGCAAGATGGGGGCCCTCAAGACGGGATACCCAGAATGGATGGTCTCAGGTGAAGGATTGGGAGGATCAGAGCCCAGGTTTTCCATCTGAGCTTTCCCAGTGGGGTTTAGAAAAGAGTAAAGGTATGGGATGAGAGGTCAGGGGTAAATAGTTCGCTGCTTCATTTACTTAGCAAATTTCTAATGAACATCCACTATGTGCCAGGCCCTGCTCCAGGCACTGGAGATAAAGCAAGAATAAGAGAAAGTCTCTGCTCTTGAGGAGCTTCTAGTGGGGTTGTCAGTCACCAAACCAATACTGTGTGGGGTAATGATGCGCCAGCCGCCCATATAGTTCTCCCCGTTGAGGTCAGAGGTGGAGGCCTGTCCTCAGTGCCCACCCGTTGCCCCACCAGGTATTGCCTGATGTGCGGCTACTGCCGCGGAGGCTGCCCCTGGCCTTCCGAGACGCGACCTCGGCCCCACTGCGCAAGCTCTCCGTGGACCTCATCAAGACCTACAAGCACATCAATGAGGTGGGCATGGGGTGGGGGACCCAGGCTGGATGCTGAGGGGTCCTGGCTGTTGGCACGGGTCACTCACTAGTCCTCATCTCCTGGCCGGGCCGGGCAGGTATACTATGCGAAGAAGAAGCGGCGGGCCCAGCAAGCGCCACCTCAGGACTCGAGCACCAAGAAGGAGAAAAAGGTCCTAAACCATGGTTATGACGATGACAACCATGACTACATCGTGCGCAGTGGCGAGCGCTGGCTGGAGCGCTATGAGATTGACTCACTCATTGGCAAAGGCTCCTTTGGCCAGGTGCGGAACGCCCCCCGCCTCAACCCTGATCCGCAGTCCCCCTGATACTGACCCACACAGCCAGAGATTCAGTGGCTTCAAGTTCCACGCTGGGCCACTCACCCCAGCACAGTCACTTTGTTTCCCTGTGCCTCGGTTTCCTTTTCTGTAAAATAGTGCAAATAACAGACCCTCCACATAAGGGTGTTGAGCTGTTTCATGTCCAGTGTTTCCACTGATGCCTGACTGTTCTTGAGCACTCAGTTTTGAATGATTAGCATTATTAATGGTGATGTTGGTGGGTCTCCTTGGCAGGAGGGAGAAGGCTGGTGCCTGGCTCTGTTCCCTACGCCCCCACCCCCTCACTTTGCCACATACCCTGCCCCAGCAGGTGGTGAAAGCCTACGATCATCAAACCCAGGAGCTGGTGGCCATCAAGATCATCAAGAACAAAAAGGCCTTCCTGAACCAGGCCCAGATTGAGCTGCGCTTGCTGGAGCTGATGAACCAGCACGACACAGAGATGAAGTACTACATAGGTGAGGCCTGCAGCAGAGCTGCTTGGGGAGGGGTCCCCCTCAGTACAGGAGAGGCTGCTGTCTTCAGGGTGGCATTTGGTCTGTAACTCCCTGACAGCAGTGATTTCTTCTGCCACTTTGACGATTTCTGCCCTATTCACGTGATAATGCTGGTCAGAGTACTCACTAAGGGTCAGGCTCTGGAGTAAGAACTTAACATAAACTAACTTGTTTAATTAAGCCTTACCACAGCCCCATGGGGAAAGGGGCATCATTGCCCGCAGGTTGGAGATGAAGAAACAGGCATTTTGGTGCTAACTTGCATGAGATCACAGCATTTGTACTCACTCAGTAGAGCTGTAATCTGAGCAGGCAGCAGACTCCAGAGCCTTCACTCTTAACATCTATGCCAGTCTTTTTCCTCTTTCCTATACTGATTCCTCTTAGAAAAAACAAGTGGGTTTAAATGTGGTTCTTTTAAAAGGAAAATATACATCCTTACAGTAAGTAGACAAGTATCCTGTGCCACAAAAATAAACATAACTGAGACTAGAACAATATTACAAAATTAAATGAATAAGTGTAGGAGGGTGTTAAAGACCCACCAGCACCAAATGGAAAGTTTGACAGAGTCGAAAAGGGAATTGAATTCCAGTGTGAATCAAGTTATAGACATATAAAAACATCCTGACCAGCAGCTGGTACACGTGGGCACACCACCGTCTGGCCAGTGCTCAGGAAGCAGAGACCAGAATCTGCTTTCCGCCTCTCTCCTTGTTACTGTGCACGCCAGGCCGCCACTCGCCCTCTCTGAGCCTCAGTTTCTTTTCTTTTGGCCCTTTCCTGTCCCGTTCCCGACAGTGCACCTGAAACGGCACTTCATGTTCCGGAACCACCTGTGCCTGGTGTTCGAACTGCTTTCCTACAACCTGTACGACCTCCTGCGCAACACGCACTTCCGCGGTGTCTCGCTGAACCTGACGCGGAAGCTGGCGCAGCAGCTCTGCACCGCGCTGCTCTTCCTGGCCACGCCCGAGCTCAGCATCATTCACTGCGACCTCAAGCCCGAGAACATCCTGCTCTGCAATCCCAAACGCAGCGCCATCAAGATCGTGGACTTTGGCAGCTCCTGCCAGCTCGGCCAGCGGGTGCGGCCCAGCCCCGGGGCGGGGCTAGCGGTGTGGGTGTGGCCAGGCTGTAGGCGGGGCCAGCTGGTTTGGCGAGGATGGGATTGCTGGGTGTGGCTGATGCCTGTGGGATAGTGCTTGGGATGGGGTGTCTGCAAGTATGGAGAGTGGGGCCAGTGGGTGAAGGGGGTAAAGGAGAGGGCTGCAGAGTATACTGCCCGAAGGAAAGGGAAGAGTGAAGTTTGAGGGGACAGGGCCAGTTTTGAGGCTGCCTGTTGGCGGGCGGAGGTGGGAGGTAGCTTTCAGCCCAGGGTCGCAGTTTTGTTTACCCTGTGCTCTTAAAGCTGGGGTGGAGGTGGGCGGGGCTCTTCAGCTTTGCAGTTTCCTGTGAGCAGGTATTTGAGATGACGTTGGTAGCGGTTTCAAGAGGGTCTGGATTGGGAGGGAGGGTGGTAAGGCTCTAGGTCAGAGACTCCTGGAGCTGATGAATAAGATAGTGGTAGTGGCTCCTGGAAAGCTGGTGCTGGTAATATCAGGGTTTGGCGACCCCTCATCCCGTTTTGGGGGCAGGAGGCTGGTCCTCCTAGCTTTGGGGCGTCAGTGGTACCAGTAGGGGAGGCTGGAACGTCTGACTGTGGCCCTCTCCCCTTCCCCAGATCTACCAGTATATCCAGAGCCGCTTCTACCGTTCGCCCGAGGTGCTCCTGGGCACACCCTATGACCTGGCCATTGACATGTGGTCCTTGGGCTGCATCCTGGTGGAGATGCACACTGGAGAGCCCCTCTTCAGTGGCTCCAATGAGGTGTGCTCCCGAGGAGGGGGTGTGCTGGAGGGGGTGGAGGCCTGGCCAGCCTGATGACCCTGACTGCCTGCCTGCTTTCAGGTGGACCAGATGAACCGGATTGTGGAGGTGCTGGGCATCCCACCAGCCCCCATGCTGGACCAGGCACCCAAGGCTCGAAAGTACTTTGAGCGGCTGCCTGGGGGTGGCTGGACCCTGCGAAGGACAAAGGAACTCAGGAAGGTGCGGCCCCTGCCCCATGCTGCTCCTCCCACCCTGGTGGCCCCTCACTCTCTCACACTTGGGGCTCCCTCCTCCCCCTCCCTGCTTCCTCCCCCTGGTGTCTTTCCCTTCCTTCCTCTCCCCCTCATCTGTCCTTTCCTTCCTCCCCCGCCCACCCCATCTCTCCTACCCACCCCACAGCTCTTCTTAGCTTCTCTCCTTCCACTTTCTCTCTTGTGCCTCTGTTTCCCCGTGTGTGTCTCCCTGCCCCTCCTGCCCACTGACGGCCACTCTCTTGCCCCCCCTCCCACCTCCCCCTGCCAGGATTACCAGGGCCCCGGGACGCGGCGGCTGCAGGAGGTGCTGGGCGTGCAGACGGGCGGGCCCGGGGGCCGGCGG